CTCAGGCGCTGGGCACCTCCATTATTTGAATGTCAGCAGACAGCAAGAAGCCTCCCAGATCTCCAGAGGCATTTGAGATATCAAAAAAGTACTCCAGAGTGTTGTTCAGCATGGGGGTGAGTAGAAAATCAAGGCTAATAATGTTTTGGGTATACTATTCCTGTAACTAAGTTAACTAATTGTTAAACCATGTTTTCAGTCAGGTTTAAGGGTCTTGTCGAAAACTTGTTATTTAAACTTTTCTGAATAGATCAGATTGTAGGCAAATTTCTTAATAAAAACATGTTTTACATCTGTCTACAGATTTTGTCAGAATGAATTCTGAACCTTTGCTGAGCCTCAGGGTCTAAGGAAGTCAGTGTTTAGAACTATTAATGATTATTATAAATGCTGTTATTATGTTAGATTGGTAATATTGTATGGTAATGATCTTTCCAGAAAGGGAATTTTTTTTTTTTTTTTTTGTTGCTGTTGTGTAACCTCAATACCTTGTGTAACCTTTCTTTTACCACAAAAATATGATTTTATTTCTAATACTGTAGAATAATACAAGTTATATTTCCACTATGTTCTGTTCGACAGAGCCAAAACCTGTCCTGACTGTGTCTGCATCATGGCTGGGCCCTGAAGCATCAGTTAAACTGAAGTGTCAGATTGAAAAACTGTCTGCAGGCTGGAGGTTCTACTGGTATAAAGCTGTTCCTGACTTATCACTGGACACCTACAAGTATCAACTGTTGTCTGATAACATCAAAGGGACTGTAGAGGACTCCTACATCATCCATAGACAGACACTCACAGCAGGATATGCATGTAGAGCTGTAACAGGGAACCCAGGGTATTTCACAGATTACAGTGAACCAAACTTTGTCTGGTCTCCAGGTCAGTTCTGTTTATATCATATAAATGCACACGGACAATTAACTGTGGTAGTTTTTTTTTTTTTTGATAAAAATGCCGGACGATTATGATATGATAATAAAAATGTTTCAGCATAACCCAAATGTCTAGGAGAAGAAATAAATCATCTACCTGTTTTTTTTTTTGGGGGGGGGGATTTTTATACTGTAACAAAGGTAGCATGATACGTTTACTTATAATATAATTATTTCTTAATTACATGTTCTATTTCAGATTCTCATTCAGCAGAGTCTCTTATAGTAACTTCTGACAGAGAGCAACACTTCACCTCCGAGTCTTTGACACTGAACTGTGGTGGAAACTCTACTCAGTGGAGAGTAAAGAGGTTTACAGAAACAGGATATCTCACATATATCAAAAATTGCTCAAACTGGAGAGCAATGACTGGATCCTCATGTACCATCAACAGTCGTCGGTCCTATAAAGCAGTATACTGGTGTGAGTCTGGATCAGGAGAGTTCAGCAATGCAGTCAACATCTCTGTACAGGGTGAGTTGTTATGTATGTTCTATTTGTGTTTAGCCAAACATGATTATTTGCTAAAACTGAGCACACTGTTCCCTGGAGTAAAAAGTTCACTTAATTTAAAGGTGTAGTGGGGAATTTTCGAGAAATTTTTGGAAAGACCTGCTTTCTCTACTTGCACAACCCTGTACTCGCACCTGAGAGGGAACGTCTATTAAATGCGTTTGAGATCATGCAAAGCCCAATTCTCCTTGTGCACGCCTTGTTTAAAAGTTGCTGTTTGCATTGCTCATACAAGCTCACTTTCCAAAGAAGATTTGCAATTTTTCCACAATGTCATATTCACCACCGGTAAGAGAAAATGTGGACAAGCACCTAGGACGGCCTTAGGTAAACATATGGCTTGAATGATTGACAATTAGGAGGACCACTTATTTTGATGATCCATCTGGAAAAAGAACATCTTCCACTATACCTTTAAGTTTGTTTCATCTTTCAATACTGATATCCCACTTGCATTTTAATCAATAGCTTTGTTTCATTGACAAAATGTAGCAATTGAAGTGAGATCTGTTAAGACTCAAAAGCAAAAAAAAATCATCACATTGTACCATTTATATAGAGATAAGTAAAGTATCCGACTGCATTAAAAACATGCCTGACAGAATATTCGGATCAGCGTCTAGCTACTCAAAGCAGAAATACATGACGTTGATATGGGGTGCAGGTAGACGCAGGTCAGTTTGTATCAGTCTGAGTTACTTGATTCCAACAAGGTTTTAAATGCCTGTTGATCGGATTTTGCCAATCATCAAAAAACAACTCCTTTCAGAATCATTCAAATTTCATTCTGATCCTGCCAACTCCAATCAGAATATTCTGACTGGTATGTTCCCATGAAATGTTTTTAGTCCAATCAGCTATTATTTTCTGTTTATCTATGTCCATGTTGACATGAATTCTGAAAAAGTGAGTAAGTGAGCAAATTTTATTTGTATGACTCTCACAGGTACAGAGTGACAAATCACTTCTAAGGGATATAAAATCCTAAGAACATCTAAAATATACAAAATAGCAGCATTGCTTTACAACTACATAAGTGGTTGTGTGTTAAACAAGTCAAAACAGGCTATGCACGCAGTGAAATGATAAATAGCATACATTTGGCTTTTCATTTTACAACACTAACTACCAAACACAGGCAATTATTCACACCTTTGTCTCAGAAATAATTATTTGCTTAAAGGAATAGTACACCCAAAA